TTTGAGTTTGGTTTATTATTTTTATTTGGAGAGGAAGCTTATGCAGGTATTGCTAGGAAATCAAGAAACCTCGCTGTATGAGAGCTAGTTTGGTAGAAACACTTCTGTTAGGGAGAACTGAATTTTTTCACTTATAAATTTTGTCAGGCCTCAGAGGACTGGGCAAAAAATCTTAACTTGCCAAAGAAGACTTCTGCAAATGTACTTCCAGAAAAATTTTGATTTTTCTGTTCAAAACAAATCAATATGCTAGAATCATAAAATAGTTTGGGCTGGAAGGGACCTTTGAAGGTCATCTAGTCCACGCCCCCCTGCAGTGAGCAGGGACATCTTCAACTAGATCAGGTTGCTCAGAGCCCCATCCAACCTGACCTTGAATGTTCCCAGGGATGGGGCATCTACCACCTCCCTGGGGAACCTCGGCCAGTGTTCTGCCACCCTCAGTGCAAAAAAATTCTTTCTTCTATCTAGTCTAAATCTTCCCTCTTTTAGCTTAAAGCCATTACCCCTTGTCCTATTGCAACAGGCCCTGCTAAAAGTTTGTCCCCATCTTTCTTGTTGGTACCCTTTAAGTACTGAAAGGCCACAATAAGATCTCCCCAAAGCCTTTTCTTCTCCAGGCTGAACAACCCCAGTTCTCTCAGCCTGTGCTCACAGGAGAGGTGCTCCAGCCCTCTGATTGTTTCTGTGGCCTCCTCTGGACCCGCTCCAACAGGTCCATGTCTTTCCTGTGCTGAGGGCTCCAGAGCTGGATGCAGTAGTCCAGCTGGGATCTCACCAGAGCGGAGCAGAGGGGCAGAATACCAAATCTACCACTGTATTCTTTATTAAGTTTCAAAAATACGTAGGCCAATATTAATGAAGACTATTATGACTTGACATTTCAGGCTAGCAACTTCCATCTATAATCATAATGTAAATTTCATTTTATACGTATACGAGTCAAGGATTGTCAGTGGGGAAAACAATTTAAAACAATCAAACCATTCCAACAGGAGCATCTCAATAAAGAAACATTCTACTTGCAAGAGCCTTGAAGGCATAAAGTAAAAAAGGGTACCACTCTGCGGGGAGACAAGGAGCAGTAAGTATCACACTCCTCAAACGGGTACAAATTTCACCTCATTCTGCACTGGCCAGCTTCAGGAGCTCTTTAAGAAAATGCTCTTCTGAAGCAGAGAAAATGCAGTAGCAGATCCATATAATCAAAACAACTACAGGCTGTATAATGCACATTTAACCACTATGTGTACTGTGTACTTCACCATGCATATTTATTTTATTTTTCTTTTATATTCAGAAATAAAAGCAACCAATGAGGAGAGTCCAGCCCACTGAATTTCAATCTCACATTCTACTTTTCGTGTACAAACAGGAATGAGTTGGTGAAGGGACAGAGAATGAGCAAAGAAAAGACAAGTTCTTTAACAAAACCTAAGCCTTCCTTAAAATGTAGATGTAAACCCTGAGGAGAAAAAACAGCATTTGTTCAGTCTCTACAATAGGACTGTAGCTAATTTTGGAAGAATTACATCTAAAATTGTATACTGCATTCAATAAAGGAATGCAAGGCTTTCAATTGTAATGACTCATTACATGAAAAACTGACAACACAGGTCAAAATTTACATTCTTCTTTTGGCAGATTTTTAAAAAACGTCATGTCACAAAGAAAGCATGGAGCATAAAAAACCTAAAGCTTCAGCAATTGCCTTTAATACATGATTCATATTAATGTTCTATTTGTATACAATAACATATATCGGATATGGAATTTTAAGGGGCAATGTTTATCATTCTGGTACCAGAAGCTGTCATTTTCTTGACTTACAGTATCTTGACTTTCTTATCTCCAAGAAAAAAAGAAACAAACCTGTAGCGAACTGTCATACCACAAAGTGTTAAATTTTTATAGCATGTTTTTAAATTCGAACCTTAAATTCAATGAGTTGCTGGGGAAAAAAATGTAAAACCATCAAACCACATTCTAAATCCTTCTATGCAGCCATTAAAAAGTGTTACATCCCAAAACCAAGTTGACAATCGCTGACAAATCTGAGGAATACAATGTTATGATTAGAATATAGTAGGGAAAAAAAAAAAAAGAAACTTTTTGCAGTTCCTGGCAGTAACATACACGGACACGGGTGTTAGAGTAACTCTGAATTATTCACATATCTCTAATTCACATATACATGTGAATTATTCAATAAGAAGCCACAGAAAGCAGCCATGAGAAAGATTTCTTTTAGCTCACTCCCTGGAACCACTCTTTATGTGGATGGTGAGACGATGTTGGATACCCCAACTCTGCTACAACCTGTGGAGCAGCAGGAGAGGCAGCACAGGAAAGGTCCTAACATGCAGAAAACTTCTTCAGTCCCGCAGTAGGAGGAGCTAATTCCTGTAAAATTGCTTTTGCCAGCAGGTCCAATACAGTCGACATAGCATACATACGCATTTACATTTTTCACCTGCAGCCTTGGCAGCCTTTCCCAAGTTACCAGGCAGCACAAGGCATGTGTTTGATAACAGCAACGTTTAAGACATTTCTAGTTGCTACTTCAGTTAGCCTTTATAACCTAAATACTAGAAAAGTGTTTTGCAATAACTAGTCACTCCTTGCACACAAAGAATTCCCTCCAATTCCCCATTTTAGCACGTAAGGAATGCAGCCGGATCAGCCCTTCAAAGTTCTTCTTCACCAGAGGCTTGAAAACCCTTACAAGTGGAACAAATGGAATCTAAAAAGAGACGTCTATCTCCCCCTACCTGCACAGTCCTTCATCCTCCTGCCCCAGGGAATGATCATCACGGGTATATAGCTACTTCAGGTCTCAAACATGAAATAAATCCAAATCTTACAACCTGACATAGCGACAGCATGTCCAATCATTCACACTGGACGTGTTGGAACCCCTTGATGATACCTGCTAATTAGCAAGCTGATACATTTAGCATAACAGGTTTTAAAGACAATTTGGATATGCCTTTCTGTACTGGTTATGAAATGAATGATCTACTTTAACTGACTATGTCCCAACAACAGACTACCAGGCCAACATTACCCACCACGACACTATGCATAACAAGTCTGTGTACAAGTCTCTAACTTTCCATTCTCTCAAGCAAAGAAGCACGAGGTGATAACCTGTAGGATTTTCTATCTCATCGAGATGCCTGATACCCCTTGCAAATTTGTCTTGTCATGTGGAGAGGAAGATACTAAATAAAAACAGAAGAAACTGAAGTTAAGTCTTAACTACCCACCCATTCTTGAAAATCTGCCTTTTCCTTGTTGTTGGCAATGGTATTTTACAGGACTCGCTTATTATCACAAATTCATTTGAGCTTTGTCATCATATCTGGCTAACACCTCTCTAAGGAAGTTCAGGTTTGGTTTTGAATGAAATAAAAAATGCCTATAGAGAAGTGATACCTCCTGGTAGGTGTCCTGAAGCTTAAGGCTGAGTCAAAAGCTTCTATTTATTCCTTATCTCTCGCAATCACTTCTTCCATAGATAGGCCAAGTTCACTCTCACTGTTCTAGTTCAAAGTGGAATGCAGAGGTTCGTTTCGGCAACCCAAACTGGATCCCACCTCGCTAAACCCAAACAAACAAACAAACGAGTCCCTCAACTTCTCACACTCTGAGTTTGCTGCCAAACGAGTCCCTCAACTTCTCACACTCTGACTTTGTTTTCCCCCAAGTGTCAGATCCTTTGCAGAGCTGGGATATGCGCTGTACCCAGTGTGTTTAGGGAGGAGGGGACAGGAGAAGGGGGAAGACAGCTCACTGTACGTCAAAGCAAGCCAGCAACCTAGCAACCATATATTAAAAGGTGTGTGTGTTTTTGTGGGTGTCTGTGTGCCAGGAATAACTGAAGCAGATATTATTCCATTTGTAATCCAAAAAATGTGAAAAGGGAAGGGGAGAAACTCCAGCTGCTGCTCTATTTTGGGGTCTGTCAAAATCCACTTTCACAAATACAGAGTCTTAACACTTTCTGTCCCATTTGTCTTAAACAAAAATGAGAGTCTGGTCCTGAGCAAGTTCTTGGCTTTGGTTTGAAAGAGTCCCTTCAAACCAGGAGCGGACCTTATTTCATGTACTACGCTTTCTTCCAAGTGGCAGTATGCAAAAATCAAAGGGGCAGAGAGGTTGCCTCAAAGATTTCGCACTTAGATCCAAAGAATATTGATCTGGTGTGTTACTTATGAATGCACCAAATACTTCTTGATATCTACATTTCATTTATCAAACAGAAGTGTCACAGTTTCTTGTAGGGAGTGGAACTAGCTTTAAAAGGATTTATTTGAGTGAGAAGTTTACCTTTTTAATTTTGCCAAAGTTTCTCATTCCGCAAGAGAACGGAGAGTTTAGTTTGGTAAATAAACCCTCCCACCCCGCCATCCTATGTGGTCCTGGGGGTGCAGAGCAACTTCAGAACCACACCGTCCCACCACGCCAGCCTGTGCCTTGCTGAGAGGGCGACCCAATACCAGGTGTAACTTTCATGCCACCAGATGAAAGTGTGGGGTGGGACAGAGAGAGGGGGACAGGGGGGCACGGCTCAGGACTGCACCCAACACCTCACCCGTCCATCCCCACATTGCGGCTCCCGACAGCCTGTGGCCACACTACCACACCAGCAGCCAGCTCACTGCCACCCAACAACAGCCCTACGGCATCTTCTCCACTGCCACCTGCCCAGGTGTCATAGAGTCATAGAGTCATAGAATCGTCCAGGTTGGAAGAGACCCTTGGGATCATCGAGTCCAACCATCTATCCTACTCTACAAAGTTCTCCCCTACACCATATCCCCCAACCCCACATCTAAATGACTCTTGAACACATCCAGGGATGGTGACAAAACCCCCTCCCTGCGCAGCCACCAGGCTGGGGCTCCTACTACTCCTCACCACCACCCACCACCGCACCGAACCATCACCAGCACCAGGAGGGGAAGGGGAAAGGGAAGGAGGGGGGGGGGTGTTACCTTGTTTTTGACCCCGCAGTGGCAGCAGACAGTCCACAGGTACTTGAGGGTCCTCCACAGCAGGATGATAAACAGTCCCCCAAAGAAAGTGACCATGGATGAGGCGAGGAAAGCCCACCACATGCGCTGTCCGCGGCTATCGCAGGGCACCTCCATGGTCACCGGGATGATGAGCGCATCCATCTTGGGCACATTGACGGGGGAGGAGGACGAGTCTGTGTTGAGATTGTTGGCGTTGATATTGTTACTCATTCTAATGCCGCCGCCGCCGCCGCTGCCGCCCGGGTAGGAGCCGCCGCCGCTGCCATTTGCAACCCCCGCTGGCCTCCGCGGGGATCCCTCAGCCTCCGCCGCGGATCTTTGCCGGAGGTGGTTCTGTTATTATTGTTATTAGTCTTATAACTTGTTATTAGCGATACTCAGTCCCCCACCCCGCGCACCCTCCTCCTCCTCCTCCTCCTCCTCTTCTTCTTCCAAGTCCAGCCCCTTCCTCTCCTCTCCTCTTCCCCCCTCGGTGCCGGCAGCAGTCTCCTGTGGCTTCTAATT